GCCTCAGTTTCCCCCCTTGGAAAATAAGGGGGTTAAACCCATTTGGTGCTTCTGCAAACTTTGATGTGCTATGTTCTTCTGCTACACCTGACAGATTAATTCAGTGGGTTCAGGTGGGGCCCAGGCAGCCTCCCTGAGGAAGTTCTGATGCCCATCAATTCAAGAACCATCCACCTAGAGAGTGCCTGTTCATTGATTTTAGATTTCATGTCCCAGGTAACGGGGAGTGTTTTTCCAAGAGGAAGAAGACCATCAAAGGGTACACACAGGAGGGTAAGTAACTACAGTCTATACACTTGATGTTGGTACTTCCTGAATTTTTGGAGACTCAACCAGAGAGGTCTTTTCAAAGGTTCCCTTCAGCTTACTGGTTGACAGGAAATCACAGAGGTAAAATGCAAACATAACACACCCTGGCAGCCATGGTCTCTTTCTGTCGCACCCTCATTTTATCATCAGAGAGTTCACACGTCGTTGGTTTAATTCTTTGTGTGTGTGCTCTCCTTTTGATGGTATGGAGGAAAGGAGGTGAGGAAGCAAGAGGGGCAGCTTTTACATGTGTATCGTCCATTATCATATAAGAACATTGACCTCTCCGTCAATGCTTTTGCCAAGCTTCTGGATTATCAATGCATTGTGGTGAAATCCTCAGACAAACTTCCAAGTCATTTTGTATTGTGCCGCAGCCTGAGGTTATCGGTTATTGTTTTCTTTCTTTGAGAAAAGTGAGTTGTAGGAGTTGATCAGTTCAGGTCCAAGATTCCAAATGAGAATCTTGATTGGTAAAGTGATCTACTCAATGTATTAGCTTCAGGAATCAACAGTAGGGGCTATCATAAGTGTTCAGTCAGCATAGGTTTTATTATGATTTTCCCTTGGTTTTTTTTTTTTTTTTTTAAGATTTATTTACTTAGGCATACAGAACTGGGGTGTGGGGTGTGTTTGAGAGGATTCACCAAAGACAGAGTGGGGAGCAGACTAGGCAGATCTTCTGAAATACACTGCTGAGGGGAGCAGCAGGTGGGTCAGGAGAGGTCTGCTGTGCCATGTGGGTCAGCACCCTCGCCTGGGATCGACCTGTGCTGCAGTGGCTGTGGGAAGCTTCACAGTACTGCGCTTTAACCTGTTGCACCTCAGGGAGGGCTCTGCCCTTGGTTTTTAAGCTGGTGTTGAGTCAGGGTTAGTTTCAAAAAAGACAAGGTTCCTGAAGCTCCAGGTAGCAGGAAATCTGATATCCCCATAATGTAGGCTTTGCCAAGGAGCTTTCTCCAAACTAATATGTGAGAAGCTTGGGATGGCTACGGATGGTATTCTTTAAAAACAGCATGTATTTACACATACTAAAATATGTGTGCTTGAAAGTGTTTTCTTTTCATGACAAAAGATAATGGCTTTGCAGTTATGCTGAGATAGCTTCCTTTAAAAATACCTCATTCAAGCAAAAGAAGTTTAGTCAATTCAAAGAAAACTGTTAAGTAATAATAGTACAGAAGTGGTAAAAACTGATGCTGATATGCAAATGACTGAGCTTTGAGAAGCACCAACTTAGCCAGTTAACCTGCTTCTTCCCCTTTTAGCTACATATGAGAATGTTAGTCAACACTGGCTTTACAAAGTTTGGATCTGTAAAATTTTCGAGTTGAACGAGACGTTGAGCTCATCAGAGAACAACCCTCCTGCTCTAGACAGGTGGTTTCTGAGGTCTGGAGATGCTGTGCCTTGATTAAGTGCAGCGTATCTTGAAGAAACTATGTTTTTGATTTTACCCTGGTAGAGAAAACATTAGTGCTTTCTAGTGGTCTAGACCTCAAAGGTAGAAGAAGGATGGTCTTTTACGTGAAAAAATGTACAGGTTACCAGGGAAGGGTGGAGAGGAGGTTGATGTTGGTGGAACATGTACATATCTGGAGGAGTAAAAAATATAGCTCCCAAATTAAAATAATGTAAGTTTATTTTAAAAAAGGATAGTCCTTATCTCTGGTTCATTGAAAGAGACATGGAGGTGTGCTGATCGCAATGAACGCCCTCCTTTACTTGGGAGAAGAGTCCGCTTGACTTCAAGGGGTGGAGGTGGGACCAGGGGGTTGAAATAAATGACAGATTTGAACTCAGTGAGAGGAAATAATGAATGAATGGATGAATGAATTAAATTATTTAATGGAAGGAATGCACTGTCCTAAGAGTGGGGTCCCCAAGACTAGAGGTGTTTATTTTAGCAGTGCATGGTCACCCTAGAAGAGGGAAAGGGCCTACTTGCAGCCCAGTCTGGCTAGGTGCTAAAGGTACTGACCTAAGCCTTTACAACTCTTAAGAGTCAAGGAGTTCGAAGCTTCCTTTGCAATGGCTCAACAAAGGGGACTATTTTGACAGTAATTATCTGTTTGATGTAAAAAAAAATGAAATCATTTGGGAATTTCCCCTCCCCACATAACATTTTTTTTATTCCTGAGTAGATGCACAGACATTATCAGAGACTTTGATGCTAGTTGAGAAATATGAACATAGTTTTAGATATATTTTTTCAAGATTTATTTATGCATACAGAATTGGGGTACAAGCCAGAGAGCAGGGATAGTGAGAGGCTTCACCAGAGACAGCGGGGAACCGAACAGGTTGACTGACAAGTACACTGCTGAGGGGAGCAGGGGGTGGGTCAGTGGAGGTCTGCTGCGCCATGTGGTCACCTCTGGGGCAGAGGCTTAAACTCGCGTTGAAGCGGCTGCTGCTGGCCTGCAGTGCTGTGCTTTAGCTCATTGTGCCACCAGGGAGGGCCCTGTTTCAGATATTTTTATCCACAGTGTATTTTTAAAACCAGGCTGTTAAATATTTGGGATTTGTATTTTAAACAGGGCTTTTATTTTGTTTTGTTTGTTTTTTTTTTGGTTTTAACCAGATGCAATAATTATTAAAAAGGCTATAGCTCAGACTAGTAAATCAAAAGTTCCCTTCTCTCATACTTCAGAAAGTTGCTGTAAAAAGCTTCCCTGTGAGCTATGAATGCAGAATTATTAAAACAAATCAGGTGAAACAGTAATTTTTTTTTTTTTTTTGGCACCTAAAAGCCTACACTGGTATTTCCATGGGGTTTGGCCCAATTCTAAGACATTTATAAACCATTTTATAATCACTAACACATTTGAGACATCATTTTCTACTATTCAAAATTTCCTTACCATACCGATCAAAGACACATTATCACAGTAAGCCAAATCATAATTCAGTGTGGCTTCTTCTCCAAGGGCTCTGAATTCCTCGGCTTCTTATTTATTGCACAGTGGCTGTTTCATTTGTAGTCGTTAAGCCCTCTAATGTGCGAATCATTAAGAAGTCAATTGTCACGGTTCCAGCAAGGTTTGCCCAGCGGTGAAAAACAAGATAAAACTCATGTTCTCTGAAACCAGGTGGCAAGGCCGCGCGTGTGCGCTGGTGCTCGCGGGTGGAGGGAACTATTTCTGAAATGCGGTTTTAATAAAGTATAATCCCAGCTTCACTGCCCGTTCACATATGAAACCCAAGCTTCAATTTAACTGCAGGAGATAGGAGTTTCCCACTGGCAGCACCAACCATCCCAAAGCCCAAACTAGTATCTAAATGGGAAGGCACAAAACTAAAAATCTGGAGGGATTTAAATTTCTGATCCTTTTTTCAAAGATAGTGACTCTTTCCCATAGGACAGTCATATATATGCATTGTTGCGTGAACAGGAGAACCTTCCGCATTACTTGCTCCCCCAAGCGCTGTTAACACAGAACACATTGTTTTCTTGGAGGAGCGCCATTCAAAGGCATGACTGAGTCCGGGAAGACACAAAAATGGAAACCCCTGTAAGAAAACTGGGGGACTCTGGGGAGATTCCCGTCTCCCGTTTGTTGTTAAAAATAAAATGCAAACTTCACATGCTATGCCTGCATACTAAAAATCAGTGCACTAGGAACCATGGCTACTTGGGCAGTGAGGAGACAGGTGTAGAAAGTACTCCTTTGACCTTTTCACAATTGAATTGGCCCCAGGTGACATGCCTGAGGCCCATGGGATGGGGGGGGGGGCGGAATCAGATGATAGTTATTTCCCACATTCTCAAGGAAACACAAACACTGGTGGTTTCTCCCAGCACCACTGTGACCAGGGGGGAGCTTAATTCAGTCTCCCTGTGGTTAAAAGCTGTCAACCTCACTAATTTATTCCTTAGTCACTTGCCCCTGCATTACAGGGCAAGCTGGGTCTAGATGTGTCACCCCAGGGCCATCTCCAGCTCAGGAAAGGCACAGCTGCCACCCTGCTGGGGACTTCGGTCTTCGGTACCACGGTGAACACAAGGGCATCCTGTTCTGGCATTCCCTCTCCACCCCCATCTTATTTAGCAACTTCTCTGCCCAGTATTGACAGAGAACGTACCAGAGGCTTTCTTGTTGGGAAACACAAGTTCTTAGGAGACAATGCCCAACATCCAGAAACAATAATAATAATTTTATATTTTAGTTTTCATTAATAGAAAGGAGATTCTATGACTTAGAAAAACAGATTATCAAGGGTTGTTTACATGCAACATCAAGCTTCCTTCGTCCTTGTTCTCAGGAGGATAAAGAGTCCTAGGCAATACTGGTGCGGTGTGACCTTAACAGCTGGATTTCACTATGACCTAAATCTTGCAAATAGAGTTCTCTCCATGTAAGCAGGTTTACATCTGGCCACTCCCCTCCCACCCCACACCATAATTAAGTGTCACAGACTGTTGCTCATAGGTAAATGTGGAAACAAACGTCCTTTACTTTTGGTGTCAAGGACCAATTTCCACCTGAGAAATGTCTAGCAGTCAGGACTGTCCCCAGAGCGCTCGTACAGATGAGTGGATGGCTAGTGTAGTTTGATGAGACAGCCAGGTGTGGCCCTGCTTTGTGGTGAGCTGCCACCCCTGTGGTTGTGTTACAGTAACAAGATGATACATTGGTTTTGCATAAAGATATTTAGTGCATTAAAAACACAAAGACTTTTCTTTTCCATTTTTTATTACATTTGGACCTTTAAGAAACATATACCATCAGATATACCACTATTCAGTAAAAATCTATTCTAATTTTGGGAAGCATGTGTCACAAACTATCTTGCTTCTAGTCTCCAAGATTTTACTAAGAGTTTATCAAAAAGGTAGACTCTGATCTGTGGGATCCTGAGCCTTGAGGTTTTGAATGTTTGATTACGGTAAAATAATTTCAAGTGGATGAACATAATTTCCAGCTGTTTTTCTTCTGGAATGGGCTCTTTTGAAGCTGTCTAGTCCACTGCAAGATTATTTAATCCCTTTACTTCTGTGGTCTATACTGTCTTTGGAAAACATGGTAAAAAAAGTAGTTTTTCTTCTGTACAATAAGGATGAATTTACCGGAACATATCCAACAACAAAAAGCAGCACAGATAATGTATGTCGTGTTCACCATGATGACTACTTCATAAACTAGTACTACAGTAACTGTGGAGATATTTCTGGACCAGTACAATCCAAGTGTAGTTGCAGGTACACTCAACCCTCAACACAACTCTTGGGACCTGACATCAATTAAAACTGAAGGGTAAGTGGACAAACACATACTCATGCATGATTACATCTTCCAGAAGCTGCTCTCTGTGGAAGTAAACAGGAAGGGAACTTTCAGGGAGCTGCGGACGGGACTGGGATGGTTTAAAGCTATGGCTTTGGTGAGCACCCAAGTGAGCTGTAGGAAGGCATTTGTAAGAGTAGATTCTGCAGCATCAAAGGATAATTCTCTAAAAGAGGTGGGCCTTTTCTCGGTTAATTTAAACTCTGAGGCTTTCAGCAGTTGAGGGCTAGCAACAAGATCCAAAGAAAAGAACCACCTTCACGACTGCTTGAGAAAGGTGACTGAGCCGTTCAGCTCTTGACGCTGAACGGTCCAAAAGCCTTTGGTGGTGTGATATGGACAAGAAAACATTAATACACAAACCACATAACACCATTAAAACTCAAAAAACATCATTTCATTTAAAAAAGTATTGAGAACACATAGAACAAGGCAACATCTATTCCTTCTTCTCATCGTCCGGCGTGGGGTCTGCCGGCGGCTCCTCCACCGTGGCGCTGTTGCTCTCTGAGCCGGTGTTGCTGTCGCTGGTCCCTTCCTCCGCCATACTGTCCACCCCCTCCTGCCCGCTCTCCTTGTCCTCGGGAGTAGACGTGCCCTCTTCGCCGTTCTGCTGGCTTTCTGTCGCTTCCTCCAGGTGTGTCTCCTCTGTAACCACACGAGCAGACCGTCAGTGCCGGGACAAACCCTGCGCTTTCACCACGCGAGCCCTGAGGCTGTGCTGTCCAGTGTGCGGCCAGCAGCTGGTGTGGCTACTGGCCCCTGAACGGAGTGGGGACGACTGGGGCAGTTTAGCGAGGGTGAAAAGCGAGGGCTTGAAAGTCGTCTACCAATATGTGACATCTAAACTCAGACCTAGCATTTGAGGAAGACTTAGCTTCCAAATTTAGATTGCTCTAAGGGTAAAGTCACATTGGATTTTGAAGACTACGTGTTTGGAAAAAAGTGTAGCAAGTAATTAAGGCTTTAAAATGTTGATTACATGTTGACATGATATAGTTTAGGAACTAATGGGTTAAGCAAATACATTAAAATTAATTTCACCTAATTCACTTAAAAAGCATCCTTAGTAGAAAATGTGTGATTACAGTGATGTCCTCTTCACGTCCACTGGACAGTACTGCTCTCGAGTGTTTTGGATTTAGTGACTGAGAAGTCAAGCGTGGATATGATGTAAGGCTGACATTTTAGGTACTTTGTTAAATGTCGTGCTGGGCTGTTTTCTGTAAGAAATTAAAAGCATGAAGCTTTTGCTCTAACAGTCTCAAACTTCTTCAGTTTTTTTTTGTCTTAAGATAGAAAAGATCTATAGGCATCCTCTATTCATAGTTGACCAGAAAGAGGCAAATAACTTTTTTGTCTAGTTGCAAAATGAACAAAGAACTGTTCTGTTCTTGAGGCTTGTACCTTAAACCACAAAAACGTGCTCATGTTTCAAATTTGTTAAGATAAAAAACATGATCAAAACAGAAAAGGTTCAATCAAACTTAAAATCTGACTCTGAAATGTTAACTTGCTGATCTAAATTTTGTGGAAATAGCTGGCAAAAACATCTGCATTCCATTAAATGTTTTCAAGATGTCAAATCTGCAGCTGTCAGTTGGGCACGAAGCACGACCACATCCCCTGCCTCGCGCACTGCCTGGCCAGGGCCGCGGGCTGTTTCCTGAACGTGCGCTCCTGTGTGCAGTGTCCTGGGCAGGACAAAATAGGGCCCGAAAGTAAGGTAATCTCTAAATTTCAAGAAACAGCTCATTTTGGGTACTTTACGTAGGTTTCACCTGTTAATGCTTTTCATCAGGAAAACCAGTACAAGGGGATGGAAGACTTTTTCGGGATGGGGGTCAGAACAATTCTTAGATAGTAAATATTAGCAGGTTCTGCTGCAGTTATTCAGCTACACGATTTTCACCCCAAAGCAGTCAGGGCCAATATGTAAACAAATGGGTGTGGTTTGCATCAATAAAATTTTACTTGCAGAAACTTGCAGTGGGCAGGCTTTTGGTCTGTAGGTTTTACTTTGCTCCAGTCCTCTCCTATGACCAAAGGCCACTAATCTTCAAGCAACAACCACAATTGCTTAAATAATTTCAGCAATAAAGGTTAAAAATTTGAGGGCCAGTATCATGCCAAATCCAGTTTTAAATGCTTTTATGTACATTTTTATTTATCATATGAAATTCTCAGAGCTAGGCACTAGAATATTTAAAAGTGAGGAATCGGGGATTAAATCACTTATCCCAAGTCAACATGCCAGCAAATGGTGAAACTGCATTGGCCAGATCTGACCCCCGAGTCAGAAAAAGCCAGGGCCCAGCCTGTGCAAATAACCATGACCTCAATACACCAAGACCGCAGGCAAAACAGCACTGCTGCTTCGTACTAACAGCTTACGTGAAACTACTACAAAGATTAAGATTTGAAAGGATGAGGTAAGTCAGAGAGAACAAGTCAGGAGGCAAGGTTAATAGTGATCTGTACACGTGATTTATAAAGGCCTCTGTGCAGACCCTCGGCGCTAGCTTCGGCGCCCACTGGGAGGCTACCTGTGTCCATCGGCATGCTCGCCTCCTCCTTCTTTTCCTCCGCCTTGCTCCCGCCTTGCTCCTCCTCAGGAGCCGTGCTGCTCTGGCTGCGCTCCACTTGCTCTGCCGCTTCTTTCTCCCGTTCCTCCTGCCTTTTGCGGGCCTGCTCCTCTGCTTGTGCGATTTCGGCTGCTATTTTTTCCATGTCCACTTCGACTTTCAAACCACACAACTAGCAGGGAAAAAACAAAACAAGCCTCTTGGTAATGTTCTTTCTTACAAGCCTTAAAACAGAAATTATTCAAAAGTGGGCTTCCTTGGCTATGAACTATATGCATGTCTATGGGGGAAATATTTAGGGCTTCTCTGAAACCCTTGCGCCCACAGCAAAGAATGCCATCAGCAGACAGGTGACGTCAAGTGTCACGGAACAGCTGCCGAGGCAGCAGTGGCAGCACTGGCTAAAACACGAGGTCTGGTCTGCTTGGATTCAAAATGCAAATTGTGGCCTACATCTAATGAAGAGTGTTTTTATTGAAAAAAGTTAACAGACACAGTAATGAAAACATAGTTAACATGTTAACTCGATACCCTTTTCAGTTCATTGTTAAATGAATCCGTGCTTTCCAGGAATTTCCTCTTCTTTTCCTGGTGTCGTTCTTCTATTTGAAGAAGTTCAGCTTCCAGTTTTCGCTGTAAGACATACCACCAGGCTTTGTAATTATGGAATTACTTTCTTTAAAATGCAGAAAGTAACCCCCGTGACAAATACTTTAAATTTTTATTATTTTAAAATTTTATAATAGTTTATTTCTACATAATTTTGTGCATTTTTTCCATCTCAGTTGCAATCCCCCTGGGTTTCCCATCACCAAATCTACTTTGAATTTTTAATCTAAATCATCTATTACATAACATACAGTTAAGATTTTAAAAACATAAAATGCAGTCTATAAGAATGACTGTGGTAAAGAGGACTGTATGGTAAGGAGGACTGCTTCAGGAATCAGCAAGTTCCTCAGGAATATTTTGTAGAACAGAAATATTGCTCAGAATTCTTAATGGATACACGCTACACCAGGCTCCAGGTTAAGCCTCTTTCCCACGCCAGGAAGAGGCTGGACAGAACACAGACATTTAACAGGTGCGCTGCTGCGTCGTCACAGGTCAAGCGACCCGGGATCTGCAGCACAGCCTCTTTCTATATGAGGGCGTTGTGACCGTACCTGATGGACCATTAAGGACTGGACCTGTCGTTTGAGGACCTGCATTCTAGCTGTGGTGACAACTGACCGGACGTCTGGCACCACACTCTCGCTGAGGATTTCACTGATGAGGCGATGATTTCTCTGAAAACGGGCAGTGGCTGTGTGCTTCATTGAAAAGCCATCATCATAATCTGAAATAAACAAGATATTCTGGAAATGAAGTCATGCATAACCTAAACAGCAGAATGTAATAATCTTTAATTACGAAGGAACCGTGGTGTTCTCTGTCCTAACAGTGGCCTAACGAGCACCTTGGGTTCACTGGGACAGTGACGTGATAAAGCCAAAGGACATAATGTACTCATTGGCCAATGTGCTAGCTCCTGTCACAAAATTTTTTAAGTGATGATACATGTCTGAGAAGGAGTTGGCTGAAATACGAATGAGGTAACAACCGTGTATCCTCTGGGCTGAGGAGCAGCACAAAGGATCCATTTACAGCAAAACTAAAGTTCACTGAATGTTTCATGCAGTAGCTACTGAAGGCATTTATTTTATTTTATTTTTAATATTTATTTATTTATTTATTCGTATAGAGCTGGGGTACAGGCCAGAGATGTGGAGGGTGAGAGGATTCACCAGAGACAGAGTGGGGAGCAGAACAGGCAGATCTTCAAGGTACACTGCTGAGGGGAGCAGTGGGCGGGTCAGGAGAGGTCTGCCGCGCCATGTGGTCACCTCTGGGGCAGGCGGGGATCGAACTCATGCGCAAGTGGCTTAAGCTTCTCAGTGCTGTGCTTTAACCCGCTGTGCCACCAGGGAGGGCCTACTGAAGGCATTTATAATCGGTGACAAGTGAAATAGGCAGTCTCTATGTCACTGTAATACTTTAACAGCAAGTAATGAAAATGCCCACCGTGGAGAAAATATTATCTCTTAACGATATTGTTTCAGCCACTAAGGTCAGTGTGAGGAGGTACCGCACTGTTTCCACACACTTGAGGTCACATATACGCTCACGCTACGCACAGTCTCTTGAGGCGCACAGTATTGGGTCTGGTTCACAGGCTTATTTTTAACAGCCATGCAACAGGGTTTCCTTTCTCTCAGGCTTCCATCTATCACCTTCACAGTTTTGAGAGATATACTAACAAATTACACTATTATTTACTCTTATTATTTAAATGAACTTGCTTAAAAAAGAGCTTCCTCTTAAGCACAACACAATGAACTTCTTCGTGTCCCATCAGAGGTAGAGGGACCAGCCTTTAGAAAACAGCACTAGAGACCAAAATGTGCCATTCTAGTTCAGCACCTCCTGTGTTATTTATGTAGCTCCTGAAACTCATGATCATAACACTAAGGTTACAAACTGTTGGGAAACTACTTTGTTTCCTTAAGAGTAACAGCTTTAGACCCTCCCTGGTGGCATAGGGAGTTAACGCACAGCACTAAGAAGCTAAAGCCACTTCCACATGAATTCGATTCCCCCCTGCCCCCATGGCGCTGCAAACCTCTCCTGGCCCGCCCGCTGCTCCCCTCAGCAGTGTACTTCGTCGATCTGTCTTTTCTGCTCCCCACTCTGTTTCTGATAAAGCCTCTCACCGCCCCTAAGCCTCTGCCTGTACCCCAGTTCTGTATGCACAAATAAATCTTTAAAAAAAAAAAGAGTAACAGCTTTAGGATATATAATTCAGAAACTAAAATTATTGGTATAAAAGTTTCTTTTTTTTTTTTTTTAAGATTTATTTATGCATACAAAGCTGGGGTACAGGCCAAAGGTGCAGGGGCAGTGAGAGGATTCACTAGAGACAGAGTGGGGAGCAGAACAGGCCACTGACGAAGTACACTGCTGAGGGGCGCAGTGGGCAGGTCAGGAGAGGTCTGCACACCATGTGGGTCAGCTCCAGGGTGGGGATCGAATTCATGCTGAAGTGGCTTTAGCTTCTTAGTGCTGTGCTTTAACCTGCTGCATCACCAGGGAGGGCCTAAAAGTTTTTTTTTTTTTTTTCAAAGATTTATTTATTTATTCATACAGAACTGGGGTACAGGCCAGAGATGCGGAGGGTGAGAGGCTTCACCAGAGACAGAGTGGGGAGCAGAACAGGCAGATCGACGAAGTACGCTGCTGAGGGGAGCAGCGGGCGGGCCAGGAGAGGTCTGCCACGCCATGTGGTCACCTCCGGGGCAGGCGGGAATCGAACTCATGCGGAAGCGGCCTCAGATTCTCAGTGCTGTGCTTTAACCCGCTGTGCCACCAGGGAGGGCCAAAGTTTTTTTTTAATGATGATCTTTTTACTTTTTAAGGAAGTTTTTTCATATCCATAGTTAAGGCTGTATGCAGTACATTTCTGCTACCTCCACCTGAGTTCTCTGTGTTGTTATCCTGTTTTCTTCTTTCAGTACCAGGGCTCTGGTACTGACCATGGGTAGGGGAAATGAAGTCTTGGCTATTTGGGTTTATCCTCCTTGTGCTTTAGTCTGATTTTGGGGGAGGGGAAGTGAGGAGTGGGCAGGGAAGGGATATGGGTGTTAAGATTTTCTAATTCACTAGCTATTTTCTCTAGCTCATGAATGACCCCTCCCTAAAATGCCACCTACAAAGCCTCCCTGCGCTATGTGGGCAGCTGCATGACCCCTCGGGCCTCTGTTAACAAGTTAGGAGCTTTGCTGCCTTGCTCGCAAGTCTTCCTGTTTCTACTGAGTCCTGATAAAGTCCAGTGTCTAAGGTCATTTTTGCGCTGGTATCTTAATTACCTGTCCTTTCTAATTAGCAGTTTTAAGATCCTATCTTAAACTTGAAAAACACAATGGCAGAAGTTTGAGAAACAAAGCAAAGGAATCTTCTTTGGAAGACTGCTCCTGAGGGAGGCTCTTAGGGCCTTCTCAATGGCCAGGCCATTGAGACTGAAACCCTACTACTTTCTACTATGGCTTTCATATTACTAGCCTGCGTTTCCTCTTACGCTGACTCCCATTCTGAAAGAACTTATTTGAGTTCTATATATTTTTCTTAAATGATGCCATCTGATTTGAGTCATTAAGTTTTGTGTTTCCTAATGTCTGCAGTATTACTGGTTCTACTTCATATTGTTTCTAGTCCATATTCTGGTCTCCTGATTTATTATTATTTTCTATGATTTACATCTACGAGAATATCTGCAATATTCCAGTCCATTCTTTAAAAAAATTGTTTGTCTCCTATTAAAGTATATCAATTTATTATGTCTCTAGATGGTATCGATTCCTGGCTTTTAAAGTTTACAAGCTTCTTGCGTGTTACTGTTACTTTAAAATAGGATCCTTAATTATTGCTTGATATTTCTGCTGCCTGTAGCTCGAGTTTCCACCTTTCCCACATCATAGCAGCATAAAGAGAAAATACTGTCTGTACTACGATCAGGTTCACAGCCGAAGGAGTCTTGAGACTCCTTGCAGTTTCAGACCCTGCCTGGCTGATAAGGCCAGGGCACAACCTGTACACCAGCCAACTCTTGCTGGCATGCCAACTGGGAAGCTCTGCTGTGTGTGTGTATGGATAAAATGTTATGTATTTGCCTTCATGAATTTTATCATGAGGTATATTTATAAATTCAAGTTGGATGTCTGCATTAACTGGGAAAGAAATCTCAAAATGTTTCTACCACTTCATTAACTTTCTTCCTTGATTCTTTAATTCAGAAGTTAAAGGAACCAGCAAAAAAAACAGGATATAGCTACAAGGCATTTAGCTATTTAAAGGCATCTGACACAAAATTTTGGTTGTGACTCAAAACCTCTCATGCATTTTGAGTATGAAGATTTTGTCAAACATTAAATAGCTTTTCCTATTTTTTGCACTCTATTAGATTTTTTTTGGTGGCAATTTCTCATACAAATCTTTCTCAAAAGAATTTTGTCTTCCATTTCACAATAGAAACAAAAACTTAAAATTAAGACTTCTCATATTTTAATTCTGAGAGAAAACAACGGAAATCTCATGTTTTTTCTTACCATCTGGATCTTCAGCAGGCTGAATGCTCATGTAAGGTTCTCCTTTCTCCATGCGAGACTGTCTCTGTCGACTCTCTTCCTCTAAAGCAGCTTCTGCACGACTTTTTGCATTTATGTATGCAAGGTATGCGGGGGAATTATGATAGGCCTTCATAGATTCATTATATTCTATCTGAAATTCAAATGTTTTCCAGTTTTATAATTAACACTTTGCAGATTACAATGAATATCTGTCTTATCGCATGTGATTAGTAAAAAATATGAAAATTATTTCCTTTTTACTGTCAAGGAATCTGGAGCCTAAAAAATTTCAGTGATTTGTTCCAAGCAGGCAAAGCCCCTGAATAGCTCAGTTTTCTGATCAATTCTTCTATTTCTTTTAAAACGCGGAGCAAATGTTTATGTATATTACACGGTATCCCTCCCATTGCAGTCCCCATTCTACCTTTTCTGCTTCGTATTCGTTTAAATATTCTTGCTTTTCTTCATCGGTGAGATCTCGCCACATGCCACCAATAATCTTGCCGATCTCCCACAACTTTAGGTCAGGGTTGGAAGCCTTTACTTGGTCCCAGACCTTAAAAAAGAAACAGTTGAAATGTTAGTACTGAATCCATAACAAATCTTTGAAAAAAGTACTTTTTAATATGGAGACTTTTAAACATAAACAAGTCCTTATATTCTCATCTGTCTGTGGCAACAAATCATCTAGTGGGCAGGTCTCCTGTCACCTTTATTCTGTGACTGCTGTAAGGCAGAGCTCGGGTACCTGCGGCCACTGCACATGTTTACAGTGAGTGAACTCAGAAACATCACAGACCGCGTCTCTAACAGTTAGTTCACTGGACTCTGGAAGTGGTTAATTTGCATAACATATATCATCAAATACATAATAATTATGAGCAAAAAAAATCAAAAAGTTCTAAATACTGGTAAAAATAGCCAAATGCTCTGGTCTTCAATAAAGACATTGGCTGTATTTATAATCGTAATTTTTAAAGAGCTTTATTTACTTGTAAAACTGGGGTGTAGGCCAGAAGTACAGGGGCGAGAGGCTATATTTTTTATTTTAAGAGTCATGTAGGTTCATCACCAAAAGGGAAAATTCAAGGAACTATAAAGAAAATAAAAAGTACTGTAAACTTACAGTTTACTGTTTAGAGATAACCACTATCTTCTAGTTTTTTTCCCTTACTTCAAACTAACATGGAGTTATTAATATAAAACAGTAATAGTTGTGGTCTTGTATTCCTTTTATCACTTAACATTTTCTCAAATTATTACATATTCTCCAAAAGACTACATACACTGTTGTAAGAATTTCAACAGTTCTAGAATTTTGAAAGCAGAACTCATTTCTTTAAAAACCACAATTTGTCCTCCTTCCCTCTGACTATGCCTAGAACAAGCTAGCGAAGCCAATCTGAACGCCGACGTACACAAAGCAGCCAAGGTGACTGGCCTCACTGCGTGCTGGCCCCGGGCACCTACCTTTCTGCTGTACCTCATGTAGGGCATCAGTGGCTTATCTGGTGGCTTTGGGGGTTTTGGAATCGTAATACCAGAGGATGCCTACAAAAGAGTTAAAACATTCATTATTCAACTGCAAGGAGTACCCAGCAAACTGAAATGAGAGTCCCTTAAAAATTCTAATGCGCCTTTCTTCTACTCGTCCATGGATACAAGAGTCATATATTTTCTCCTCTGAAAATACCTATCACTGCAAATTCAGAAATGTTCGTATCAAAAGAAAATTACTTAAAGAACATACTTTTTTAGTGTTTTAATTAGCAGTTTTGATTGCCACTGCTTTGACAACCTGGCTGTAAGAACAAATAAAAATTACATAATAACCCAACACTGAAAAGATATGGTTACATATCAAATGTTCCACATGTCAGTAGATCATTACCTGGCCCTCTTTTGTTTTGCTTAATTCACCCTTACACATACAGTCAACACTTGATTATCTGCAGAGTCTGAACTTCTGAACTTGTCACGCTCACAATAAGGGGACCACGTCTGTGCTGTTCGAGGAATGCCTTCCCTCAGCACCACCACTAACAACACTAAACTACCTGCATACAGAACCTAGAAGAAACCTTTACCTCCTTTATTGAGACTAGATGCTTTAATTTCCTTCAGGTTCTGAATTCATGTCTAGTGGTTTCTGTAAGAGGTGGAGGTGTGTTAACGGAAGTCTTGCCTTTGTGCTGGTCCTTAGTCTTTCTCACTCACAGCGGAGGAGCAAACATGTTAACCAACAGCTGAAAAACCAGCAGTCACGAGCCCAACCAGGTTATTTCTGAGACCTTACTCCATTCCAGTAATTTTTTTCATTTTGTGGGAAAGTCGTAAGAGAAAAGGAAAACAGAAGAGGGGAAAAAGGTGTAGAAAAAAGTGGCTGGGCGGGGAAGGGAAAGAGAGAGGAAGATAATTGTTGTCTTCTGGCGGCTGACTCCCGTGTGTTGGACCAGAACTGTCTGGTCCAAGTGCCTGATTGTGAGTTTCCACACTCGACTGCACTTGATCAAGGACCTAGAATAAAGTCATGAGTGAATCAGATTTGTCTTCCCTGAGTTTCTGCTGTCCTGGATACTGACTCTTCTTGCCAGGCTTGGGGGAGGAGGAGCAGGTAGTGCTAATGCTACCTGAATTATCAAAAAATGAGGATTGGCAACTGCTTAGAAGAAAACGAAAGTGGCATTTTTCTTCCTGTGCCCATCTGTTGCTGCTGTGATAAGAATCCCTGGGAAATGCCTTCATCGGAGCTGGGACCATAACCAGGGCTTTGCTTTTCAACCAAGGGCTCAGGGGCGGCCTGTTTACAGCCCCTCCCACTGCTTTCAAAGAACCCCTCTTCCTGAGAGGGTCTTCCTTCAGCCTACATATACTTTGAACTCTCCTTCTTCAGACGTGACGTTATTAGAAAGCATCTCACGTTGAAGCGACTATTTCCCCTTTCGTCCTGGATGAGCTGTCATGGCAGTTGCTGCCCATGCAGCGGGGTGTCGGAGGGAGGGAAGCCAGGGGACAGAAACTCCCAGCAGGGTGGTATGAGTAGCCAAAGGAGATCTGCCTCGGGGTGTAGTTCTGTCAAGAGGTTGGGGGGAGATTTCTCTAAGGCCACGCTTATGTCACGGATTCAGAACAAGAGCGAGTCTTCTTACTTGCAGTTATGAGAACGCATTTCCATCTCATATTTAGCACAAACCTTCAAATTCCACAAATGGATTACAAATAAAGATGGAACTGTGCAACTCAACTTTCTCTTTTTGAAAAGTAGAGACAAAGAATTCGTGTTTATGCTTGAAACCTGAATTAAAACACTAAAATTATAGTACTAGCTGCTCTTTGATACTTTTCAAAGGACATTTTGTGACATTAATAGATTTGCTTGTGTCGCCTTCCTTTCTCCCAAGGAAGGTGTACAAATCATCTATGTATTGAGGCCTTTTTTTTTCATTACATTGACCAATATACAATTACAAATGTAACAAGTAGGGATCAGGAATAACAAAGCTATAGACTATTTTCCAGTTCCTAAAAATTTACATCATTAAACACCTCTAGTTTTTTTAAACCATCTCAGATAACTTTCTACAAAGCCTTAAACATTTTTCTACTTTTAAAAAGAAAAGCAGTTCACATGGAACATACTTTAACCTTTTCTTTGTAAGAGTGGACTATAAACCACTTTGCTCTAAGCCTTTGGTTTAAGGTGTGAATAAGCACCCTTTATTAAGCGGTCCAGTGGTGATGCTGGTCTGGGGTTGGGTTCCCTTTTAGCTGTTTCCTTCTTTGTTACTATCAGGAAGCTCCCTCTACCAGCAACTGAGGGTGGGGGCAAGTAAGCAATGTAACTACGCTTGTTAAACTGGACATCTCCCAGCACAAAGTACCTCGTTTGTGACAGTTCTCAGCTATTTCTCTGGTAGCATCTTCAGGGTTTTCTTCTAGGATGTAATTTCCACTAACGCATAGAAATGAGCTGTTTTTCATCTTTGTCTCAATCTGTTTTCACACCTGCACTGAGGATGCTAATCATCATCTACATAAAGAACTAAGAGTGACTCTGCACAGCTATCACAAGCTCTCTGAAAGGCTTCAACATTGATATACAGTGTTTACAGTCTGATAACTATTCAAGTACGGGAGTCTCCAGGGAAACCAGTGCTCTGCAGGCCTACAGGAAACTTCATGGGGCACACACAGTCATTCCTTCCTATCACTGACTTAAGGTGATTACAGACAAAATATCAAACAGGCTTCTCCCTCTGCCCTTGGCAAAGTAACACAAAACTGGGGTCATCATATGATGTAAAACACCTTTATAATGGTTAGAATCAGACCTAGAGAGCCCTAACAGAGCCCTCATTAGATACATAAAAAAAGATAGGATAAAACTTCAGGCACGACTAACTTTCTTCGAGGAACATTCAGTGAGTTGAGAGAAAGGTCAATAAAATCTAAGGGGACCGGGGTTCACAAAAACTAAAAGCCTCCACATTTTCTTGGTTCTTTAGGTTACCTCTAAACAGTTTGATTATACACTAATCTGTTATTGAGAGGACAACAATACAGAAAAAAACAACCGCCAGATATTCTATACCCAACAACTCTCCTACAACAATCTATGCTGAAGCTGGTGCCTACTCCAAATGGTAGGTTCTAATACCCCCAGGACCAGGGGAAACATAATTGATCCCAGAGCTAAGGCACCAAGTGCACTTTTCTCTGCCTAGTTAAGTATCCATTGTGCGAGCTCACTCTGTAAAAAGAGACATCCAGATACATCCAAGTTGAGAATAAAGTGCTTACACAAACTGAAATACAGATTACTATATTACAGTCACCACCATTTCTATTCCATTAGCACAGATAATCAAGAGCTGACTGTATAGAGCTATTAAAATACAATCGTTTTCTGGTTTATTGTCCATGAATAATTTTCTGCTTTAACATGAATGGCCTCAAACTGAGTCAGCCCCTTGGTTAAGTTAGAATGTTCTTTACCTCTTGATAATCTTGCCACCCATTATTCTTGTGAAACATGTTTAGACTGGGAAAAACACACACCAATGCACATAAAAACTGTCTGCATCATGAAATGCTTACATACACACACTTTAAATTCTCTACAGATCCCATGAAATACGCATGGCACATAAAACCTGATGTGCTTATGAAGTACAAAATAATGCAGAAACAATGAAAAATTTAGACAAACAAATCTATCAAGCTAAGCAATATGCTTACCAAGACAGACATACAGTTTGATAGTTACAAACTTTCTGCTTTAGCTTGACTACAGGGTGAGAGGGCTTTTCTGTTGAATGAGCTGAATTACTCATTAATACAGCAAATAAAAACCAGGCATTAAAAAGTTTATAGCCATTCTGGATTGTATAAATTCTCACCAATATCACATTCCAATGCATGGAGGTATTTGACTTTTGGATTTATTTTTGGTAAGTCATTTTTAGTCATTTCTTTGACACCCAAACTTCCTTGTATAGTCTCAAGAAGATGCTAAAATGAAAGTCTGAAGTACATCATCCAATTTGAAATTTTAAGCTGATCATCTGAATGAGACAGCCTAAATTCAGAAATCATATCCTCTATCCCATGGATTATAAAGGTACTTCCACTGGCATATCTAGTCTGGTAGTTCAAATTCATTTCATTCAATTTTCATCCTACAATTCTTTGATGTTAACAATAATTTTTTAACTGGAGAGAAATGAATTAGACTTAGGTCAACTATTAAATCCAAAAGACAAATAAATTAACAATTTTAAATTGTATGTCAGCCAAAAAAGCCAGGTCTGCAAGCCTAATCTTTACTAAGAAACTTGAGTTGAGCCTAATGCCAATTACCTTAAACGAAAGATACTGTTCATTTCAAAAAAAGGTTATTTCAAACCGCAAACATTCTAGGTTTGTCTACATACATTATAAGCATTATGTGTCCAAGGTCTTATCTCTATCAACTGCCAAACAGAATGGATTCTTCTTTTTATATACATATCCATCTCTCACTATTTTCTTTTCCAGTGTAAGACTGTACAACGAATGCTTAAAATAGTCGAAAAGCCAGGTTAAATTTTGTTAATGGCTGTGCTGATGGTTCATTCAAAGGACCTAACTCTGAAGGCATTTCTGGTCAATTCCAGTTGTTTGCCGGATGCTGTAATAGTTGATTCTCCTACCGTGACCCGGCTGTTGGTGCCCGGGTTCCCTCCCAGCCTGTAGTTGTTGTAGGCGAGATGACTGTATGGATTGTATCCCACAAACCCTGGTGTGCTGGGCATTTGCTAATGGAAACAAATGAGACAAAAACACGAATGAGAAATGAGCTCAAACGAGGAAAACACAGAAATGAAAAATGATCTGCATATGGCATGCAAAAGCAACCTGAATTTAAACAAGCAATGAGGTGTTGTCACTGTTCTTTTTCTTTTATTGAATAACCAGTTGAAGTGTTTTTTTGCCCTTCTCTTTCTTTGTGGGACCATTGGCTGTGCAAGTGTGAATGTGTGTGCTTGTGTTTTGGGGTAAGCAACACAGTGAAGTGTCTTAAGCATTCAGACACTTTGTGGGCAATAGTACGATACAGCAACTTAGTGATACATGTCTGAGACCGGAAAGCGTGAAGTGTAGTAAACTAGAAGTCTGAAAATACTTTACATGCAAAACAAAACATGATTTATTCGACAATTATGTGGATGTCACCAATGTATTCATTTACCAAAAACAAATAAAAACAAGAAATGGATCTGTATTCCAAGACAGTTTTAAGTCGTCTTATATGTGAGAAATGAGATTCAAATCAGGAAGCTAGGAGTTGTCAATAGAAAAGAACATATGTGGGATTCAATGAATGTCACATACATGATTCCAAAACAAAGACTTGTAAGAAATGCATGGATTTCAATCTGGGACACTGTCTGATCATTTTAACCCAGTCATTCTTTTATAGGCTTTCTCTTCCACCTCTTCTTTGATCCATCTTCCACAGGTCAATCATGAACAATTTCTGCATTTAGTTTTAATGTGAACTACTTTTCTAGTCCACATTGACTTGAACATTCTTGTTTTGTCTGGTTTCCTGATAGCTCTAGCCCTCCCCAAACACAAATGCTCATTGTAGCAGCAAAGTCCTTGGGTTTTGTGAATTATGTGTTGGTACGATCCTAAATGGCCTCTCTCAGAGAGCAGTGGCTTGTGATTAATACAATGACACCAATGTTCGTGAGAATCAAGGTCTAATGCATAAAAAGAATGCAGCAAAGAGACCAAAAGTAGGTATTTTACCTAGTGAAATTCAATCAAAACAAGTGACAGTTATATTATTTTAACATGCAGTTCACAATGTCAGTTTTGAATTTTATAGCCTTAAATATAAATAAACACATCCCAATTAAGCTGAAGCTGTTATAAAATAAACAGTTTTCTAAAATATGCTTCTGTCCCAAAGACAGGCATTCATACAGATAATACATTTGATACTCTTTAGAAGAAAACACTGATCAATTTCTAGTCTACACAGGTACAGAAGACGCAAATTAGGCATACTCAAGTAGGCAAGACACAGGGAAGTATCAAAGGCACAAAAGTGTGTATTACTTGGAGTGTTACATTTGGGTGGGAGTTGTGGAGGTGGTGATGGTGGAGGTGGTGATGGTGGTAGTAGAAATCATGAAAAAACAAAGAAGGAAAATAATTCATTTAATACCCATTCTGTTGGCTGTCCTAATCCCTAGCCTGCTGATATTACGTGTCAATGTGAAATTATAATGATACAGAAATATGGTTAAAGAAAGGCAGAAAAATACCTTTTTAAGAAGTCATAAGGGGACACTTGATATTTGAGCTATTTTTATTATCTCAAAAAAAAAAACCAAAAAAACAAAACAACCTAAGTTTCTCTTCAAGATATTACACACTGTCAGAAGCAGTATTTACGTCAAAATGATACCTTCAAAGGTTGCATAGACAATAAGAATCATTATTCAACATAATGAGGCAATAATGTAAGAGGTAAGGGAACTAAAGGAAAAAAATTGAAACTGAAACATTACAATTATACCAGTTCCAAAAAATAAAGTATATGGTTAGGTCTTTGAGGTCAGAACTCTCAACCCCACCTGAACAGCCACTAGAACAGTGCCAAGGAGATGGTTGTAAGAAATATTCTTTGATTCAAGAAAGAAAACAAACCAAACACAGGACTTTAAGATCGACTGGAATAATTTTAGAGGCTGTATGTAATATAAATTGAAATGAGAACATAGGACACAGTAACGCTCTAAAAGCATCTTACTAAGGAAAAGCGATTGATAAACATAACTGAAATATATATTGGAGGGTTAGTAAATCAAGTAAATCAGTTATCTAGCAGAGAAAACAAAATTAAACAAGGACCTAATTAGTAGACTGGCCTGAAATTTAGGGGGGAGGGGGCATGAAAGGACAGCTAACAGCAGTTAACTGATTTTGGTTAACATTTTAATCATTTTCTTCAAAAAACAAAAACAACAAGGAATCTATTTAAGTAAGGCCTCAATAGCTAGTATTAAATCTACATTGTGGATTAATTATTTTACATGCTGACCAAGTGGGGTCAGAGCTTGCTGGATGGAAAAACTAGTATACAACTAATATATAGGCACTTTAAAACATCAATTTCCAAACCAATAAAACAGTTATTTATGGAGTGGAATAAAATTCAACAGCAGGATCTGACCCACAGAAAATGAAATCCTTACTTGAACAGCTTGAAAATAAAGATTTATGGCTGTGTTATTCTAGAACTGGAAGTTTTATTGTTTGATTTAATATAAAAATTATATATAATATATAGACAAGGAGAGAAAAATGTAACCGGTTGAAGGTTAGGTTTAAAAATAGTAAGTGCCAGAATGAGCATTCACTCAATATCAACTTAAAAACTCTTAGTAGAGAAGATCAACAATAAGAGTTAAAAATCATCACTACTTTCCCATTAAAAAAAACCACAAAGCTGAGCAGAGGAGATTGGAATTTCAGCAGTATGTTTCTTTAAATGTTGGGGTTGCTTCAAGGTAAGATGCAGAGTTATTTTATTTAGTAGGAAGTGCTGTTTTTTAGCTGAATTTTTCATCCTGGTGCTGTGATGATTGAGTGACTGCCACTGGAAGACATCTGGGTTTTTGTATCAAGGCCAGACTTGGCTATTACATTAACAAGAAAATTAAAACTTACTGTTGCAGGAGCTGGGGTGGGAGGTGGGGCATAAGATGGTCTTTCTGTTTGAAAGAAAATAAATAACTTCTTGTAAACAACTGAGATATAATACTATGCAACAAAACTACCAATGGTCCTGTTTTGAAGAAAAAAATGAGAGTATTTTGGAATTCCCATTTGCTAGGGCATTAGCCTCTTATTAATATAGGTTGATAAATATAAAAAACGAAACTTACTTGACATTTTGGAAGATTAAGTTCTCAGTTCCTTAAGAATGAATCTGAGACACTAAAATAAAAAAAAGGAAAAAAAAGAAAAAAAAAGAGAATCAAAACTCAGCAAGCATAAGTGAATGTTTTCCTAAATAGGGTAGTTTAATATTTCTGAGTAAAGTTACATTATGTTCTAGCCATCAAGTCTTCTGGCAAAATTTAATAGTCCTGCTAAGTCATTTGGCTGATCAAAATTCAATGACTACAACAAATTATAGGGGCTATTAAGAGTAATATAAGACATGTACTTTCAAGCTTTTTCTTAGGATCTAGCCACCGTTTGCATGGAAAACATTTTGCTGATGTCATGTAAACATTCAATCCATTGAAAAAAATATGACAACAGAATTAGGGCCCACCAGATACTGAGCGCTCCCAGATTAGCAGTTTTACCTTCTTCTTAGGGTAAAAACTTCCATGAAAATGGGGCATTTTACTCCTGGAGGCAGTGTAAGAGGTCTTTTAGTATTAAATAGCTCTGTAACTGCTGGGAAAAGAATTGGAGAGTCTACTCTGGAAAATTCACATTCATTTCAAATTCTACCTCCTCACTGGAACTTTTTTAATAAATAACGTGGGCAGAATTGCTTCCTCATCTGTATCCCACCCAGTTTACAAAAATCTGTGATATTGTTTATTGTACCTTTTTTGGCTTAACCTATCAATACAGCTGGATGGATACTGCTTGGGAACAGAGACTATCGAATTAATCTTTGTATTCCCAGCACCTACCTCGACTTTTAATAAATTTTGTCCTATTTTACCAGCTCACCATATGACCATACCCACAAGCGTTTGTTCCCATACTTCAAGCTACAGATACAAAAATTCATTTTTTAGAAAGCAGGTAACACGCATGAAGCTGGAATTCTTTCATCCAATATTATGTCAAACTTCACTTTTTGGCTTCTACTATCCATTTTAAGGGACTTCTCCGGGGCATACGGAATAAGAAGCCGGGTGTGGAAAGAAGTACTGAATTTTTCTGAACAGCTCAACGTGGGGTCACCCTCTTAGGGAACAAGCAGAAACCCCTGACTCTGGGGCAGCGTCCCTTCCGGTTCCTGTCCTGGGAGCTGTCAACATCCAGTAGGCTTTGCAGCGTGGAGGCGTCACACCAGCTGCCACAAGCTTCCTAGTACTCCATCCACACTTGCTGGTTAATACTTCAAAACTGTCTCCTTTGCTCTCTTACACAGTGAGAGCGGCCTGGGCGGCCCTGGGCTCCCTCGCCGGTGCCTGGCATCAAAGGGCCGGTAGGGACCCGGGACCTGCGTCCTACACTGGCTGGTCGGCTAGCCCCACTCCCCCCTGGGGTCTGTGCTGCCACTCTGCCTCACAGATGGAGAATGGGGGTCCCGGCGAGTTTAAATAACTTCTCTCCACACAGCCAGAAGAGCCCGAGTGGGTTCCCCACGCCGGCCAAACTGCTTTCAGAGCTTTCGCTCCCGACCCTGAACCACACCGTGGGCCCGCGGGTCGCTACTGAACCATCCTGCCCCATCAAATGGGCACCGCGGGCCGGGCCGCCCCGAGGGCTCCCTGTGGGGTCGCTTCCTTTAGCCCTGGGGCGGAGGATGCGCTTCCTCCGCGACTCCCTCAAGGGGGCTACTCCCGGGGGCTTTGACCCATTCGGCCGAGTTGGCGGAAGGGGCGAATTTTGCCCCCACAGAGGGACCCCGGGCGGGTCTCCCTCCCAGCGCCGGCTCGGCTAGGCCTCGAGGCGGCCGCCACGGGCCCGCGG